CCACTATAAGGTCTGTTTCATCAGATTTCAGGAAATCCTACTTAAAGCATAGCAGTTGCCTTGGCAGTCCCCTGGTGACTACTCAACTGCTAAGCACACTGCTCACCCAAAAGTATTTCCTTTGAACATCTAAACTTCACCAGACCTTCAAAACAATCTCACCAAGGAGTCTGGTTAAACTAATATCTGAACCTTAAGCTGAAACCCAGCAGGTGCCTCAGCAGTTCCCTCACTATCACCCAACTGCCGAGACCACTGCTCCAGTAAAAATCTCACTTACTCTTACTAAAGCACATCTTCAGAAAGCCTTCATCACCCTGAGCAACTCTATATAATCAATCTTCTCATACCTTCACTTTTACTTAAGCAGGTGCCTCAGCAGTTCCCTGGTTACTACCCAACTGTTGAGACCACTGCTCTCATTAAGGTTGATTATCAATCTACCTAGTTACATCATCACAAAGCTCTTCTCTTCCTAAGAAAGATTCTTCTTACACTTTCATGGGACAATCTTAATGGGACGGACCGATAAGGTAAAATGGGACAATCATAGCGGGACGGAGGTAGTACAATATATTTAATTATTTATATTTAATATAATACATTTACATATAATATATTTAAATATTTATATTTAAACATTAAATGCGTATTTGGTAATTCGGTTTTACCGATTACCAAACCGAACTTTTTTCGGTTTTTACCAAACCAAACCGATTTAGTTTGGTTCGGTATTCGGTACGAGAATGTTAAAAACCGAAATTTCGGTTTGGTTCGGTATTACCGAATGAACACTCCTAACTGTCAGGGGTTTATGGTATGAATCCTGCGTTTTTTCAGGCCTTTTGGGATATTATTGGGGTGGATATTGTCTTCATTTGTACTTCTATTTTTTATTCAGGTAGTATGCCTCAGGAGTTAAATATCACTAATATTGTTTTAATCCCAAAAAAAGAGAAACTGATTAATAAGAGGGATTGGAGACCGATTGCTATGTGTAAAGTAGCATATAAAATTTTCTCTGAAGTGCTTTCTAAAAGGTTGAAAGGGATGTTGGAATCTTTGATTGGGGAGAATCAAAGTGAATTTATTCCGGGAAGGTCGATTGTGGATAATATCATGGTTGCTTTTGAGTGTCAGCATTTCATTAAGAGGAAGTGATATGGAAAAGAGGGAGTTGCAGCATTAAAGCTTGACATGAGTAAGGCGTATGATTGGGTGAACTGAGAGTTTCTGCGTGGTGTCATAAAGCGGATGGGTTTCCACGAGCACTAGATTCAGGCGATTATGCTATGTATCAGCACTGTTCAATATTATGTCCAGTTTGAGAGGGAATTTATTGTGCTTATTATTCCTTTTTGTGGTCTACGACAGGGGGATCCTTTATCCCCGTATTTATTTATTTTGGTAGCGGAGGGGTTGAGTGACTCCCAGGCCAAGAATAGGTAGGGGGCCTACGGTGTCCCACTTGTTGTTTGCTGATGATAGCCTTTTGTTCTTTAGAGCTACACAGGGAGAATGTGATGCTATTGAAGGTATTTTGGACAGGTGTGAATTAATTTCTGGTCAGACGAATAATTTCAATAAGTCTAGTATTTCTTTTAGCCCAAATGCAGAGGGGTCGGTAAAGGCGTATTTTTTTAGACTATGGGTATGAGGGGGAGTGTAACCAGTCTCGCTATTTGGGCCTACTAGCTTTAATTGGGAGAAATTAGGATGCCATTTTGAGATATTTACGTGATAAGATTGTGTCGGGTATTAAGAGCTGGAAGAATAAATTTTTATCTAGGGCTGGTAGGACAGATTTATTGAAGAATGTGATCTAGGTCATGCTTAGTTATGCTATGAATGTTTTTCTGCTACCTAATCAGTTGTGCGAACAAATTGAGCGATTTATGAATGGATACTGGTGGATGGGGACAAAATTCGACCAGAGATGGATTAGATGGAGGAGCTGGGAAAGGATGTGTCATCCACGCAGTAAAGGAGGCTTGGGGTTCAGACGAGTCAAAGATTTTAATTTAGCTATGTTAGCTAAACAAGCATGGAGGCTTGTGGTGGATGAGCAGAGTCTTGTGGGTAGATCTTTTAAAACAACATATTATCCCAATTCTTCATTTTTGAATGCTCAAATAGAGAATAATCCTACTTATATTTGGCCGAGTAGTGTGGAGGTGCAAGCAATTTTGCAAATGCATACTGTAACGGCAAAGAGACTCAGGTTTGGGCGGATAGGTGGCTACCTGGGAAGAGTTCTAGTTGAGTTCAGTCTGAGCGGCTAAGGGGAATTCGTGATATGAATGTGGTAGCCCTGAGAGATGAAATTGGAGGAGCTTGGAATGCTAGCAGGGTGAGGACTATATTCTCATCGGAGGAGAGCGGGAGAAGTTTGAGTATTCCGATTAGCTTATATGACAGGGCAAATTGTGTTTTCTGGCAAATTTTTCAGTGAAAGTTGTTATAAATTAATAGCAGAAACGACAATGCATGCTAATTGGATATTTGGATGGGGTGGACCGTAATGTGGTCGTTTAAAATTCCCCTTAGATTAAAATTTTTCTTTTGGCAATTGATGGATGGATCACTCCCTACATCTGTTAATCTTAATAGAAGGGGGTCAATGTTCCTTTTGTTTGCTGGTCCTGTGGTGACGGGGAGCAGTTGGCAGTGCACGTTTTCAGAGACTGCTAGGCGGCTAGTGATGTGTGGCGAGTGGCGGGATGGGGGCAACATAATCCGGTGAACAGTTTTGAGGCATGGATCAAGGTAAATTTGGAGGAAAGTGATAAAGCTAGGTGTGACTGGCTTATAGCAATTTTGTGGAGTCTCTGGCAACGGAGGAACAGTATTGTCCGAAAAGGTGAAAACTAAATCAGTATGGCAATGGCAATGGCAAAGTACCAAAGGTGAGATGTGCAGACAATATGCTAAGGGCTTGGGAGGCGGCTCAAAGGAAACAGTGAGTGGGATGGGGATAAAAGGAGTTCTATGGGGGTGGCAAACTGGCAAAAACCTAGAGCGGGGGGTTGTAAAAGCTAACATTGCCACTGTAGTAAATGAGGAGGGTGGAATCCAGGCTTGGAGTTGGGTTGCCCAAACGAATAAGGGGTCTTTCATGAAGGCAACGAAGGCACCGAGTCGAAGAGATGCAGTGGAAGATGCGTTGAAAGAAGAGTGAAAATGTGTGGAGTTCGAGTCAGGACGTCTAGGGCATTATTAGTAGTCAATGGCGTGAAAGGACTACAAGGTGGGTCATATGTTTACTTGATATTTGACGATATTCGAAGGTTGCTGAAATTTAAGTGTTGATTTAGTTTTTTTTATTGTAGAAAGGTCTACGAACCATGTTGCTACTTTTGCTAGACAATGTGTGTTACTACCAGATAGGAGTGGATTCGGTTCGGGCCACCCGGCCCGTGACCCGGCCCGGCCCGCTACTGTGCGGGCCCGGGACCGGCCTGGTCTAGCGGTCCGGGACCGGGTGTAGACCCGAACCGGGGGGGATGGGCGGGGCGGGCTCGGTTCCTGAAATAGTTGACCCGGCCCGGCCGGGTCGGTCCCGGGCCCGGGTCCGGGTCCAACGGTAACATTTAAAAAAAATTGGGCCAAAGTAGCCGTTGGAGGTGGGCTGGGGACAACCCAAACGACGTTGGGTGGGCTGCAGGGGTGGTCCGGGGGGTTTGGGGGTGGGGGTGGGGGTGAGGGGTGGGGTAAAAAAACCTATAAATACTCCTTATTTAAAACATTTTTTCATATCTCTTCTCCAATTCTTCCTTAATCCTATTCTTAACTCTCTACTCTCTAATTCTCTTATTCTCCAATATATTATATTTATATATCTACTTTATATTAATTATCTACTTATAATTTATAAATACATACATTATATTACTTATATTTCTTATCTAATTATATACTTCCTCCGTTCCATAAAAGTTACAACATTGAAATTTCTGCACTATTCACACACCTTACTTTGACTACGATTTTCTAATAATATATATAATAAAAATAGTTTGTATAAAATATTAATAAATTTGTATTGATGTAGATTTCCAATATATTAACTTTTTTAATGTTTACTAATACGTAAATAAATATAATTATGGTCAAAGTTGCGCGTTGGCAAACGTGAAAGTCCAACTGTTGCAACTTTTATGCAACGGGGGATAGTATTACTTATACATTTATTACATCTATTAATATAGTTGGAATTATATCTAATTAATTTGAAGTCATTCTATTACTATCAAATAAATGTACTCTAAGTTTGTTTTTAATACTTGTATAAAACTATAAAGTATAAATTATAAAAAAAAAAGTTTTAACCGGCCCAACGGGTGGCTCGAACCCGTGACACAGGCGGGTGACCCGGCCCGAACCGGACCCGTCCAAACCTCGGCCCAGTTCCGGGTCCATGTGTTACGAACCGACAGCCCAACCAGGCCTAGGCCCAACCTGGGCCCAACCCGGCCCGAGTCCATGCCTACTACCAGACAATATTATTTATTTTGATGATGTTCATGTCAATCTAAGCCAGTTGAAAAACGATTTATTGAATTAATGATAATAATTACAGTTATATCACGTTTTGTTTCATCTAAAAAAGTGACAATTTCTACTTAAATCAAACACTTAAAAGCTAAAAATTAAAATCTGTTTTTTACTTTTTCTATTGTACGAAAAGCACATATTTTACTAAACACTACCAATTTTACTTTTCAAAATCAATTTTACTATTCATCACTGTTTCCAAAAAATCACTTTAAAAGTGCTTTTTTAAAAAGCAAAGGCATTTGCAGATCACTTACATGTGCTGGTTTTATTAATATGAGAGATACTTCCGTTATCTTGTCTTTTTATTAATAACTTAACACAAACTACTAGTAAAAATGGATTACAAAAGCCCTCGAGCACGGACATGCAGTGTTGGGTCTTCGGGACTGTTCTAGCTCAAATTCAGTTTCAAGCTTCACTGAATAGACATCAAGTAAAACAAAGCGTATGCAAGGAACTAGACTGCAGAACAGCATACTAAGATGCAAGGCTTGTACGACCAAACAAAACCAACAATGCACCACAAAATTAACATTAATCATCATAGTATAAAATCAACGACAAAACCTTCTAAGGAATAATGTCAACTATGAAGATTGTAGAAAAAGGATAAAAACAAGTCATATTTTGAAACTTTACAACAACAAAAAACAGAAATATGTCATGGAAAGAAAAAAATAATCCAGGCCAGCAATTAGACACCTATCTCTTACTGGTCCGTTGGCATGCTCTTAATAATGTCAGAATCACCTGATAGCACAAATGGATTGAAACAGACATGTGCAATAAGCATACATAATGATACTTTCACACCACATGTGAAGTTACAATCCCACCTTCCTCATGCTAAATTATTACATCATTTTCCTTGCGAAGTCAACCGCTCATTGTAATGAAGCATTTAGTTGAGGTTATTCTCACGTTACCTTGGTGACTTGATAATGTGTGAACTATGAAGGGTAATCCGAGTTTACCTCCACTTACGGGAAAAAATTAGGTTCGAATAATCGAATCACCAACTGGTTTGAGTTAATACTAGATATAGTTTATGGTAATGCCCAATTTAGTCCCAATAATAGTTTAATCAGTTTTTGTTTTCAACATTGACTGATTTGCCAAGTTTAGTCCTATGTTACCTTTTTCATCCTTTATCAACGCAACTCAATCTGTTTATAGTGCCAGTGGAGGCTGTACTGCTTTGCCAAGTTTAGTCCTCTGTTACTTTTTTCTTCCTTCATCAACGTAACTCAATCTGTTTATAGTGCCAGTGGAGGCTATATCCATCACCAGCACCACTATCCTATGAGCTGCTACGCATAGCTTGAAACGAATGTAGTAATGAAGAGAGCTGAAACTAGGTAAGACCAGTATCTTCCCGTTTGCTTAAGACTCCCATTTTGGAACGTGTGAATTTTTAGTAATTCATTATTTTAATTACTAAAGCCAAAATTGTGGATTGTGTGAAATTGATATTTTGACTTGTAAAATTGTGGAGATTGTTTTGAGACAAATTATGTATTTTTAGATGTATAATTTGATATGAATATTTACATATATATTCTGGAGTTCGAACTATCCTTATTGGATTATTTTGAACATGAGATTAAATACTATTTTGGAATAGTTTTGGATAAACCCTAATTTGTGAACTTTGACTTTGAATTGAACATGTTTGACATATGATTTTGAGACCTGAATCTGAAATAGATATTTTGAGAAAGTATTTTGAAGTTAAATGATACTTGAGTAACCTATGAACTAGATGTTCATAATGATAATTGTGTAATCTATGAACTACATGTTCATAATCATGAGTGGAGTAATCTATGAACCATATGTTCATAATGACAAGTGGAGTAATCTATGAACCATATGTTCATAATGACAAGTGGAGTAAACTATGAACCATATGTTCATAATGACAAGTGGAGTAATCTATGAACCATATGTTCATAATGACAATTGGAATAATCTATGAACCCCAAGTTCATAATGATCTTTGGAGTGGAGTAATCTATGAACAACATGTTCATAATGATAGGACCGGTATACAACCCGGGTATTCATGTAATTTGATAATATTTTTGAATTGAAGAGTAAATGGGTTTGTAGAATTAATTGTGGATACGTATTTCTTGGAATATGAAACCTATATGTATAAGTATTTATAAACTATTTTGTTGAATCTCAAAGGTTGTTTTAAGTGGTGAATGTAATTTTAAACTTGAAAATTTTACTTTGAGAACTAAATGGATTTTTGAATCTATATGTTAAGTATCAAATCTATTTTCCTCAAACTATATTATTTTATGGGGTTGGGTGGGTCTTACTTCGCTAAAAAACTACTACCTCCGTCCCAAAAAACTGTCATTTCAAAAAAATTGAACATTGATTTTGATTAGTATAATATTATGGAAATTATAAATTTTATACTTTTATGAAAATATTTTAACAAAGAACATTTTCATATAATTTTTATATTATAAATAATTTTCAATAAAAAGATATAGTCGGTCAAAGTTTTGAAACTGGAAAAGTTTTTGGGAGGGAGGTAGTAATTTTTGTTCCATTTTCTTTGTTTTGTTTTCTGCACTTTATTTGGTGCAGGTGATGAAGAGTATGCTTGATGAGGGAGCCACGTTAGATCACATAGACTAGTTACTAGTTACATAATTAAATTCAGAATTTCAGAACTTGTTATTGTTTTATTTAACTTCAATTTGGAACTTAGCACTTAGGATTATTTTTGAATTGTGGTTTAGCCTGTGCACTTGGTTGTGTGAGAATCGAGTGTGGCAGTAACACTCATTGAATATTATGCTTCCACTGCAATTTAAACTCTTTTGAATTAAGTGTTATTGGGAAATTCTTGCTATACTTGCTATATTTAGCATCTACTTCGGATATTAATTTGGGGGTGTTGAGGAACCTAGCTGGAATCTTTTCATAATAATATATATTTTGTAGGGAGTATATAACCTAATAATCCTCTCAAGAGATGCGAAAGGATATAACCTGCGGCATATCAAAAGTCCACAAGGATACTGTGGAACCCACTCAAGATAATCTACCCTGTATATAATCTAATCTCCCTAGTCCCTACTTAAGCATGGCAACACACGCTGAGGGACGGGCGTATACAAATAAGACAATGCAGAGCAACAAAAAGGATAGATGGACAGGCGAAGCTTACAAAGGAGCTGGTGTAAAAAAATTAATTAGTAGAGAGGGAGAGGTGGACTGCCGCATGCTAATCAGAAGAAGAGAAGTATTTTGATCAAGGCATTAGCCTTCTTGCAATTTGTATCGCACGCCTTATATAGTATGCCTCAATCTAAAAGGCGTTAGCTTTCTTATGGCGTAAAATAAGATTCTCCTTTAATCGCAACAGGCCTGAAAATCGATGAGGCGCGCCTTAAGGCACGATTCTATTGCGCAATTTCAACCATTGGTTCCAACCCAATTAAAATTTGAAATTCATTAGCCGACCCAGACTGTTTTGGAAATAAAGCTTGGATGTTGTTGTAGTTGTGAAATACCCTTCACAATTAATTTATACAAGACAAAGTAGATGTTAGTAGATTTACTTGTTCAAAAAACATGTGAACTCACCGGGATCAATAATGCTGAGGCAACAAACTCTGTAATACTTACCACATGCAGTTCCTAAATCAACATTGTCTGAAACAGAACATGAATGGAACAAATATATGAATAATAAACCTTTTCAGATTAACTACACTGAAACTTGTAGGGAGTATAGATAGATCTTTTAATCAAAGTATCTCATAGACTTACTTCCGTTGTAATGGTGAACTCCAACCTTTGCCAACATAGCATAATACTCTATCTCAGACTTTCTAAGAGGAGGGCAGTTGTTGGAAATTATTATCAGCTTTCCTGAGGTAAAAGCATGAAATTGGAATCAAAAGAAATACTCCTTCCGTCAATTTGAACTTTGTTATCTTTTAATTTTTTGGTCAATCTTGTTCAACTTTGACCAATTATATATATTTAAAGGTAGTTATTTAAAATATATAAATGATACAACAATGTTCTTTGTTAAAAGTACTTTCATAAAATATAAAATTAATAACTTTCATAATATTATACTGATCAAAAGTCAAAGATGGAAAACTTTTAAGGGACGGAGGTAGTATGTCATCTCGTGGCACAGAGTTAAAGACAATTGCTTTTGCATACATAGACATGGCAACAGTTTCAAATGCAGCATAAAGAGATTAAGCTTAAAATAAAGAGATAAACAAGGCCCTAAAACTAAATTATATGCATACAAGGTTTTAAAAGGCAATTGAGTCGTCTGCATCTAAGGCGTAAAGGCAGCTGAAACGCCTAAAACAATCAGGCCTCGCGTCCCAGATATAAGGCTTATACCTCCATTTTGATGAGTTAATGAAGCATTGAGGCGCAGGGTACAAGGTGCAAGGAGCAGGCAATGCGTACACCTCCAGTTTAACCAGTTTGGGCTGATTTTTAATATGTCTGGGCCTCCAAATGAATGTGTTTTTCTTTTGCTTATATCTTTTTAATGTGCTTGTAGCTTTAAAAGGCAGTGTTTTTATTTAATAAAAGGCTCATACATTAAGCATGTGTCTACACTAAACCCAAACAAGTCTTGTTTCATTTAAACCCTAACATACATTAAGCATTCTATGTGTCGTTAAAAATTATTCATGTTTCTGCACAAAGAAGCAGATGGGTGAACAAGGAAAAAATAAGAAAAATAAAACAAGCAATGGAGGTAACTGATGGTGACGAAGAGAAAGAACTTAAGGATTTTGATAGTGATGATAGAAGGGATGACGGTGAGAAGGCTATAAGATATAAATATATACTGCTTCTTCTGAAGACCTTTCAGTCTTTGAGGGTTTCAAATTGAGTCATCTATGAGATGTGTCTGTTCTGTGTTTGAATTCTCATTTTGAGTTATCGTGTTTGATGATGTGATCATATATGTGTTTGTGTTTGAGACTTTTTGGACTTTATTATGCATATGTATAGTTGGTTATTACTAGTTTTAACTATTTTAAGTTTTACTTCTTGGTAAATTATGAGGCTTACACCTCACCTCTCTCGAACAAACTGCCTCGATACCTGAACTAGCCTTTTTAAACCTCATTGTTAACTTAGTGGGGATGGAAGGGGAAGAAAGAATTTGCCAACATAAAATCAGGGGAGAAGAAAGAATTAAAAGTAAAACAAAAAAAAACCTCGTGGGTCACCACGTGGGTACATTTAGCAACTACCATTGTTAACCTAATTAGAAGCTGATTTGAACATCTTTTGCAATGGGGTGCTTGACAGGTACTTAAACTCGAGATCCTACGTAGGATCGAAAGTTCAACTAAGGATAGTAAATCGTAGGATCATGACTAGGATTGTAAGATCCTACAAAATATATGTATACTTATATGTGTGTGTGTCTAATATAGTTAGAATGTAAATACTACTATAATTAATGAATAATAAGCATAGTAATTTGTTTACACTTCTACGCTTCTACGAGTAAACTCGGTGATTCCTCTGATCCTGGCTATTTTACGATTCTCAGAGGGAACGGGATCGGAGGCTTATATTCAGATCGTATAATCATACGATTCTACGAGTAAACTCGCGATTGTGACTACCATGGTGCTTGATTGCTTTTTTGTTGAGTACGACGACTTAATTGACTTTTCGGATATAGTACGAAGGCCTATTTGACTTTACTTTATTTAAAAATTTCTCCAAAAGATCTAAAATATGAAGTATCAGTTAGTAAAACACACAAGGATGCAACGCAGGTTCATCTTAAACTCTTGGTATCTTCTTGGTTCTCCACAATCTTCATAATACATGACTAGGCGCCAACTTTGAAGCTCTAAAACACAGACCAAACTTCAGGATCTCTCTCCAGGTATTTATCCAAATTATCCCATCCGTTTTATTTACTTCTTTAGTTTTTATTCTGATTCAAATTTTTGGTTATTTAAAACTTTTTAACTATTCAAACTTCTGGTTTTAACCTTTTAATTATTCATGCTATCGGTCTAGAGTCTTACAGTTTAAAATTGACATTTAAACACCAAATCGGTGTTTCTTTTGTAACTTTCAACAATAAGTTGAAGTTTAGAACGAGGCAGATGAAAATGTATCCTCATCTGATAATAAGTGGATTGCTGATCCAAATGAATATGATGGAGATAATAAGATTGCAGGTGAAGAATTTGCATTTGTTGTTGATGGAATAGAATTTGCATTAGTTGTTGATGGAATAGACGACGAATTTAGTGGCTCATGACTTACTATTTTATATCTTTAGTCATTTCAATATAATTGAAGGGCAGCCATGACATTATGCATGTAGGAGTGGAATTTAATGGTGGAAGTAGAGACGATAATGAGGCTCGTGATACAGAAGGGGGTGGAAATGAGAACAACATTAAAATTTTGGATATTGTTGAAATAGACGATAGGCTTAGCCAATGTGTATATTATATATTATAATATATAATATTATAATGACTGCAGCCATTTAAAGCAATATATTATTTCATGACAATATATATACTGTATGCAATAAGTTGCAACCACTAACATATATTGCACTAGGGAGTAGGTAGCATCTGCACTCTGCAGTATGTTAATCAATTCTTTTTTTTTGCATGCAATGAATGCAGCTGAATGGTGGCACTTGTATGGAAACACAACTCCCAGCTTACACAAAAACTACCAATGAGAGTTCTTAGCCTGACTTGTAGTGCTTCAAGTTGCAAACGCAATTGGACCGTGTTTGAACAGGTAAACTTTGAACTTGCAACTTCTACGAATCAAGTATTGAACACTTAAAAGAAGTTATTTATATTTCTTTATGTTCTAGATTCACACAAATAGAAGGAATAGGCTATGAATGCAGAAGCTATATGATTTAGTTTTTGTGAAGTGCAATGCAACTATGAAAGCTTGTTTTGACTCCAAAGATATCACATATCGATTGCTTTAGATAATAGTGATGATTGCAATAAGTGGTTGGCTGGAAACATCAATGGAAGTGCAGCAAATGAATTAGTTTTCAGTGACAATGAAAGTGACGGCTTGAGTACAGCAACATGAGCAGAAAAAATGATAAAATATACTAGAAGGCAGTCCAAAAATCTGAGTTCAAGTACCACTCATAGGCTTGTGGATGAGGAAAGTGAGGGGAAAACGGAAGAGGATGTTGGAGAATATAAATAAGATAATGGAGATGAGACCGGCTCCTCCTTAAATGAAGAATAGTACTTCACAATTTTAACAAGGGGAAATAGGCTCCAATTTGATTGTCTTTTATTTTTACTTTTATTATTGAAGCCATGAATTCTGAATTTGGTATTTTATTTTGTGAAACGTGACTTTATTTTGGTGAATCCTAGCTTTTTTATGCATTTGTTTAAATATAATGTTACGTACAATCGTACATCTTATTTGGTAATTGACGCCTAGACGCTAGGCGGCCCTAACGGTAGAGGACTAATCAGTCTGGTCGGCCAAAAAACAGCTTAGTCGCAGCATAGTTAGTGCCTAGACGCTAGGCGCTCCTCAACTCACCGACTAGCACCTAGCGAGTTTTAATAATGAGCATATGTGATATTATATAGGTACTGCGCTTCACCCGAGTCAGCCGAGCGCTTTAATTGCGCCTCAAGCACTGGAGAGCCCTAGAGCTTTTAGCGCGCCTTTTGACTTTGACTGCCTTGGGCTTAGCTTTAAAGATTAATAGTTGCAATTTGCAAACTTATATTCTTAAGCTTTTTATGATCTTTTGAATTGGATATTTTAGTGTTTGGTGTTCTTTTGACTTGGGTATTTTATAGTTTTATGTTTTTTGACTTGGATATATTATTGTTAAGTTCTCTTTAGTTGTGATTTTGTTTAGTTGAACTACTATTATGACAATACCTCGAGGGTATAGTTGAATTATATATATTATCATATTTGTTGTGACAATAGTTTAATAATTAATTTCCAGACTTACACCTCGAGGGTCTAGAGTTGACCGCCTCGAGACTAAATTTTGCCTCTAAAAACCTTGAGTGTGTGTATACATATATCTATTTAATTATTTTTTAGTGACCTATGAGGCTATGATGAAAGCAACTAACAATGACATAACTACAACTATGAAAATGAAGGTTAAAGTAGTATAGTTCGTATCGTCTCTCTCATACGATATGGATCCTGATATAAAATAAATATTATCCCTAGCAATGCACATTATGAACGAATCAAAATTAGCTTAGAATTGAACCAATATGCAAAACACTTAAAACACACAACTCAAATTCTTTACATGGTTGTAATGAATGCCAACAACCTAAAAAAACTTCTAGGATTGTTTTCAAGCAGCTTTTCTTTTCAAAAATGGGAGGGAGGCTTCCAATTGTCTAAAAAGATACATTATATAATTGAAGTATGAAGTTCAATTCTGAATCATAAACCAAAACTCTTCATGTCTCTGTTTTTTCTTTGTCCCTTCTTTTTGTTCTTATTTTTCTACACTTCTGGTATTTGTATTTTCTCCTCCTCCACTATCATAAACCACTTTTTTACTGTGGTTCTTCAACATATTTGAATATTAAATATCTTACATAGTATTACCTAAAGGATAAAACATGAACTGATGAATAGATGTGTTATCTTTTCCATTTTGAAGGCTACACGTATTCATTTTTGCTTAACTATTTGTTATTCTACTAAACTATACAACAATTTTGTTGTTTAATGAACACTATGATTACGATTTATAAGACGAGATGTGTTATCTTAGGCATTTGGAAGGTTACGTACATGCATTTTTGCACAACTACCTGTTATTTTACTAAAATATACGTAATACAATATTGTTATTGATTAATGAATTGTGTGATTCATAAGAGGAAACAGTTCCAGATTGAGAAAATGATTGTTACGAATCATAACTGGAACCTTGAATTTATACCCTTGGCTTAAAGACAAAAATTCAAATTTGAAATTGTAGCCAAAGAAAACCAGTATGGTAGAGGTAAATTTTGGATAGTGTGGAAGAAAATGAAGCATGGCTGGTTTTGAAGAAATTCTAGGATTTCTAGCGCAATGGATTGGATAGATTAAAAATTGATCAAGATACTATTTTAAAATATTAAATAAAAAACATAGAAAGTGAAGGATGGAAATATTATTTCTTTTCAATTTTGAAACTCAAAATTGAAATGAAACAAGATGGGTGTGCGGTTTAAATTTAATAAATGAAATGAACACTGCCCCTTAAGTTTTCGTGAATCGTGATATAAGCCAACACCAAAGATTCAGTTAAACAGACAACGCTAGCTGGAAAAAAAAACACAAATGAAACACCAAATAGTACATTTCAGTTATGCGAAATGCAACAGAGAAACTAATAATCAACAGTTATGTTTAAGAGAGTAGACTACAGAAACAGAATAATAAGTTCGAAACAATGAAAAGACTATATTGTAAAACAAATCTAATTGAGGCAACGCTAGAAGTTCCCAATTAAATGGAGAAAGTGATATGAAGAAAAAAACCTTTAGAGCTTCTGAGAGACTTGAGAACGGTTTTGTATCCCAAAGTGTATTTTCCACTCTTCATGACCAGAGCAAGCCTATTATTAATGCTCTCATGGGTCTTCTTCTGTGTAATTCATCACATGATATTAAAAATCAAATCAACCATTCGTATACATCTGAAAAATAAACGTATGAAGAAAAGTAAAGAGACTCACAGTCTTCTTGGGGGCAACCATGACTGCTCTTGCTCGTTGATCGGTTGGCTGGAGCAAATCACTATTCGGGGCGAAAAGCGTCTACAAGAGCCGCGAAGGAACCGTGAACAGCGGGAGCGGCTTTGGCTATATAGCTCAGATGATAGGGATCACGAAGGAAGACGAGGTCGGTCTAATGGGCCTAAGGTTTCCTTCTTGTGTTTTCCTTTTGTGGCCCACTCTCGCAGCCAAGTTTAAGTTGGTACTACCTCCTTTCCATTCAAATATTCTCATCTTAGACACGACTATTTAAACAATAATTAATGAGTTTTTTTTTTGAATTAATGCAAATTAAATAAGTATTTACTGATACAATGTTGGGTTAAAACTATTTACAGATATATTGTTGAGCTTAACCTTGGTTGGGGAAAGGGGATGGCGACTTATAAGTCGCCAAACTGTTTGGCGATTTTCCCTCTGCACCTGCAAAAACAGAAACATCAAAAACCAGATAAAAATCTAACAGAATTTGACAGAAACGTGGCAATACACCTTGGTCACAAACACAGTATAAAACACAGTACAGACATCCAATATGCATAACTCAACACATGATAAACAAATAATTAAGTGACTAATAACATAATATCACATAGTTTGCAGGTGGACATACGTCATAAAATGTTTCACGAATTCAAAAACTTCTACAACATTCGGGGTACATTAATAAGTCCAATAATGGAGACAGACTACAAGTTTTCATGGTGTTCTTGATCATCTCGGTCATGGAGGTGTAGTTGTTGAACCATACGCCTACGCTGCTAACGTGGCTGAAGAACACTCTTTCACGTCGACCCTAGGATGTAGAAGATGTTGTTGTGGTCGATGTAGATGTCATAGAATCTTGAGAAGAGTTCATATGTATAATATGCCCACAGTCCAGTCGGCCCAACACATTCGAACACAACAAAGCAATGCTCGCCAAAACCTAATCGTACGTCTCCACGTCGTGCGTCTCACTCATTGTGTCAGTCACTCGCTCGTGCATACGTTGCAAAGCCCGTGTCTGAAATGTGCAACATGAATTATAATTATTTTCAAATAAAAAAAATGTTAAATAAAGGCCATGAATTACTTTAGCAACACACTTACTCTCAAATGCAAAGCCATGGAAGTAGGCTGATAATGGTGAGTAAGGAGCCTGAGAGAATGAGAGACAAACAATTGTGTGATGCCGTAATACCATCTCATGTAGTCTACAATTTTAAATTTATAATTATATCTATAGTTATAATTAGTGTAATTATAATTACTATAATTTTAATTATAATTAGTGTTATGATTATTATAATTTTAATTATAATTATAATCATTATTATATTTTTTTATAATTCTGATTATAATTATAATTATATTCAAATTATATTTATAATTAAAATTATAATTATCATATTTAAAAATTATAATTATAATTACAGAAGTATTCAAATCAGATCAGATTAGAAAGATTTAGATCAGATCGGAAGGATTCAAATCAGATTAGAAAGATTCAAATCAGATCAGATCAAAAAATTCAAATCAGATCATATCAGAACTTAAAAAGTTCAGATCACAAACATTCAGGTCAGGTGAAGAGAACAGTTTCTTAGTCGGGCCTGAGAGGTAACTTTCAAAAGCCTTAAGATTAATAGTTACAATCCATGTAATATTAGTGATATGAGATACGGATTGCGCCAACGAAGCCATGGGAGAACCGAACATAGGGGAGTCCACCGGCCGAGTAATATCAAAACAAACTGTGAAAATTGGGCCAAAAATTGGGGACCCTTGCAGCGACGAAAGAGGCAAGATCGCGGGAGACGAGGGCACACCAATTGAATGCCATGGAAACTGAGGAAGCAGGTCATCAAAGAGAGAATAGGCACCACTGGATGCCCACATTGGAGGAGAGGTCGTCAGAAAAGGCGAGGCCATAGGCAACGGGGTTAGTTGTGATGCGTGAGAGAAGGCAGTGCAGTCACATAGGTAGGGTTGGGCAAAAGACCCAGTCCCATTGGTCCGTTCTAGAACGTTCTGGTTCCGTTCCGAAACCGGAACGAACTGTTTCAAAACAAAATGGTACCGGGGCATGAAAAATACATATTGTTCCGTTGTCCCGAATACGAATTTGCATTTTGTAGTGTATTAGTGAGTTTGTCATCGTTTCAATTAGTAGTTCAAATAATTGTACATAGTAATATTCATTTTATTACACAACCCAAATATCAATGAGTATTAGGTATTAGACTATTAGTTATCTAACATGTAGAACACCTAAAGGCTAAACTACACAGTATAAACTATCTTTATACACACAAAAAATCACTTTTACTCCCAAAGATTTCATTTATCATTATATTGTTTTAGCAATTTTTTTCTGCAAATTTTGTGATAGTATTATGTTTGTTGGAGTTATTTCTTTTTCTTACAATTTTTTGTTTCTTGAACTTATCTTGTTAAGCTTCAATTTCTTTTGTGTTGCATTTTTTTGGCAAATTTCTTGATGTATTGTGGTTTTTTGTGATGAATTTTTGTTTGTGTCGATTTTTTTTTGCAAACCGCTCTGCTTGAGTTTTAGTGTTGCATTTTTTCGCTATAGTTTATTTGGGATATCCCGGATCTCGTTTTGTCCCATTTCGAACCATTATTCTAAACCGGGTTCAGGACCGGGACAGTCAAATTCCCGTCCACTCCCGGGCCGTGCCCAACCCTACACGCAGGGGTAGAGGAAGAAGATGCGGCCTTTGGTTGAGACGTCATGTTGGCCACCGTCGATGACGAAAAGGAGGCGACGGTGGGCTGCATGGTGGAGGCTAAAACATACTTTAGGAGAAGAGAGAGAAAATCTATTTATTTATGTGCTCTTAATGCCATGTGAAATCATGAAACGGGTTACCCATGTAGGGGTCTTGGGGGATATATTCATAATAAGAGAATATATGTCAATTAGACAAATAACCATAAACATGTACTTGGTATATTATTACTTTAAATCTCGAGATCCAGGACCCCCTTGACTCAGCCAAACCCATCTTCTATTAACTATTGTCAACACCTTGCTTGCTAATCTACGAAAAACGCCTATGCAGTCAAGTCATCATGCACTCGCCGCCTTGCTTCTCCCCCTCAGAACTATGATATCTTTATTGTAAATAATCTTTATTTTACTTATTAAAAAGTGTAAGCGTTCATGTTTGTTCAAGTATAGTCTATCAAAAGTTCGATACCATTCATTATAATCTAAATTGGATGTGGTTTGATCTAACAAGTATGAACGAGATATCTTGACACTTTTCATGAGCAAATTTTTTTTAAGGAAAATATCATATATGAAATCAAATGATTCAAAATAACAACAATATCCCAGGGCCTAAATCTCCCTCTATCCATCCAAACCAAAGCATACTGCCCCCCTCACATCATGATCAAACATAGAATAGTTCACCCTATGAAGAGCGAGACTAATCGTTGAAACTGTGAGAGCATATAGACTATTAACGGCTGAATCAACTGATTGCCTCCAAACAGTAATCTAACAACTAAAATAAACCAAAACACCAATCCACCCCTTATTGTTTATCCTAGGAATAACACAATAGAAATAGTAAAACAGTCTTCTAAACCCTATCCGCACAATTCCTCCATGGCGGCGGTTCAGGGGGGTTCGATTTTCAGTACTTCGTCTTCTTCCTTCATCATTTTGATCTGCATGTGAGTCTCCCCATCTCTTGGACAAAATATTGCACGAACACAACCAGCCCGAAACCGAGCAACCTTCACATCCCAATTCTCCGAACAGTCTGCCTCGTTGTCCACTGTGCTGGACTCCTGCCTATTTTTCACCGCCGCACCAAAGCTCCAAAAAACTCACCCCTGCGTAAGCTCCTAACCGCCCCCTGCCCGTCGCTAACCCACTCCAATCCCTGTCGATCCTTCTGTGAGCGTCGCCCTTCCCAAAGACAGTGTCAGGTAGTCGCTTCCCTTGGTTGCAATTGAACTGTCGAGCGATTGGAGTCGCCGACCCCAAAACTCCCACAAACTAGAACCCTAGTTGTGCCTTCCGCTTTTCAAAAGGAACTTGTGCCTAATTATTGTTAAAATGTAAAACTTTAGATTTTTTTTTACTTTGTAGGATCGGTCCCACAGCCGGGAGGCAAACTACCAATATTGTCTGCTTTGGGTTGCCCCTCATGGATTTAAAACACGTCAATAGTGGTGGAGAGCCTAGGCCTTATAAGGTACCAAGGACTCTCCTAGCCCACCGGTGTGGGATTCTTTGGCATTCCTACCGAAGAGGCGGGTTTAAGAGTCGCGGGTTTGACCGGCTCGAGGGATCGAAAGGCCCATACCTAACAACCCCCCCCCCCCCCCCCCACACACCGGTGTTGCCCCTAGCTCTGATACCAATTGTAGGATCGGTCCCACAGTCGGGAGGCACACTACCGATATTGTCCGCTTTGGGTTGCCCCTCATGGATTTAAAACGCGTCAATAGTGGTGGAGAGCCTAGGCCTTTTAAGGTACCAAGGACTCTCCTAGCCCACCGGTGTGGGATTCTTTGGCATTCCTACCGAAGAGGCGGGTTTAAGAGTCGCGGGTTTGACCAGCTCAAGGGATCGAAAGGCCCATACCTAACAATCCCCCCCACGCCGATGTTGCCCCTAGCTCTGATACCAATTGTAGGATCGGTCCCACAACCGGGAGGCAGACTACCGATATTGTCCGCTTTGGGTTGCCCCTCACTGATTTAAAACGCGTCAATAGTGGTGGAGAGCCTAGGCCTTATAAGGTACCAAGGACTCTCCTAGCCCACCGGTGTGGGATTATTTGGCATTCCTACCGAACAGGCGGGTTTAAGAGTCGCAGGTTTGACCGGCTCGAGGGATCGAAAGGCCCATACCTAACATACTTTGAGTACCTTAATGAAAGGAGTTTTTTTCTTCAAAAATAGGGTTAAATGAAAAATGTTTATGAAGTTGGGATTGAGTTAAAATTATTTCTCAAAGTACTCTTGGGTGAAACTGGGATTAAGAAAATAGCCACTTGAACTGACGACTTATGCAAAAAATACAACAATAATAGCACCAAGAGAAAAGTTCGTGTGTGTTCCACCAAATTAAAAACACATGTTTTTTAGAGTTGTATAATTTTTCATTTTTATTATTTTCATATGACACCAATATTATATATAGAGAGAGAGAGAGAATAATGTTCCTATCAGTCCGATTGACCAAAACCGCCGTCTGGCCGATGCCACATAAGGAGCTTCACGATAAAAGTTTTTGATAAAATTTTGTGAGCATGTTCGTTCATGAAGTTAGAATATGCATAAAAATACACTACACAAAAATATGCATAAAAAGAGTGTTTATCAACAATGTATTTAACTAACTTTCCAAATAAATTTTAAACTGAAATTTTGTGTGAATGCTCTACACTTCATGAATAACATGCTCACAAACTTTCAGGGTTGACATGAATATTCCTCTCTCTCTCTCTCTCTCTCTACACACACACACATATAGAGCAGCGATCCTGTCATCGAAGCTTATTTAAGCCCATCAAATTTTAGCTTAAAATTCAATCGGGAAGAAAGTCAAATAAATTATTTACAAATAATGCGCTTTATGTGTGTGTGTGTATATATATATATATATATATATATATATATAAACAACGCAATACTGTATTTTTCAAAGAGTTGTTAATTTTTTATTTGCACTTTGATTGGTACAAAAATTATATCAAAATTCACAAGTTTTTATTATCTTTCATATGGGACCAATATTGCACATATAAAAATAGAATAGTAGTATTGCCCCAAAAATAGAATAGCAATTTAGAAATTTTGTAGCAATATAATTTACATCTACAAAGTGTTAAATTGTTGTTTTTTATATTTATGCAATGTTAGTGTCATTTGAAAAAAATAAAAAGTTATGAATATTAATATAATTTTGTAACAATCAGAGTACCAATAAAAAACTTACAACACGTAAAAAAGGTGTTTTTAAGGTGGTAAATTATTTTTTTATTGTTATACATGCAATATTGATGTCATATGAATGATAATACTCGTAAAAAGTTATGAATTTTGATAAAATGTTTGTAACAATAGGAGTACAAATAAAAAAGTCGTCCCACTTTAAACAAAATAAGTGTTTTTAATTTGGTGGAGCCACATTACTAATCTTTCAAGTGGCGATTTGCTTAATCCGAGTTTGTCTCAACAACACTCGGAGAAATTCTTTTAACCTAAACCCAATTTAATAAAGGGATATTTACTAATATATGACTAAAACATTGACAATTTCAGAATATATGACTACTACTTTTGTACATCCCAAAATATGATTAAATATTAGTTTTATACATATGAAACACTATCATATTGGGAAGAAAAAAGATAGAAGTCATATTTTGGGAAACACATTAAATTTTAGTCATATGTGGGTTAATTTTCTCTTTGATAAATATGTTTTCTATTTAATGGGGAAAATTTCTAGAGTGTCATTCGTTGGTCTAATATGTTTAAATCTAATATGATCTATTTAAATTTAGTTTGATCTGCAAGACTACAACTGAAAACGGTTCAAATAAAGCCATTCTAAAAATGGAAATGTAGAATAAAAAGGTTTGGAATGATGGCGCAAAAACAGGTGTAGCTGAAATTAAATAAGCGATGGCTGGCGTACACGAATCATCATAGAAATGTGAAGACGAGAGGCCCACCCGCCCTGACCCATGTCTGTGCTGCTTTATAAAATCTGATTCGGATTTCAAAATCTTCATTCATTTCATTACCAAAAATCAGTGTTCCGTAAGTTACAACCAGTCAATTTCTTCTTCTTCTTCTTCATCAAAATCAAACACCTGCAGTGCAGTGCAGTGCAGTGCACTCATGGAGCTTAATGCAAAGCAGCTGGCTTCTTCTAAGAGGTATGGCTCTTTGTTCGGCGTCGAATCCTCAAACAAAAAATTCCCCTGTGCGGCTGTGCTTCATACTCACCCTCACGGTGGAGGTGTATTATTATTGTTATATACCCCCGCCTATTATCAATAAAAAATTGTTAAAAAAGTTGTGATTGAGTTTTACGTAGTATTTCAAATGATATGCATCACATTTCCTTTCCCGAAAAGAAAATGCGTCATTTATTTCGAGACAATCCAAAAATAAAAGTGAGATATCTAAAATGGAATACAGGAAGTATTACAAAAATTGTACTGTATATATATTACTGTTAAATCATCGGTACATTTTGCCATTTTGTTAACCGGGATTTAACATGATAAATTATAAATTCGAGTGTTTTGTATAGTTCGTGAACTTAATCGGGTGTTTTTAAAGTTCAGAGGTTTAATTAATTTTCTTAATATATTAGGAAAGCCAATTTTCCTCTATATTACTCCGTATTATTATCACGTGCATGTTTGATAGTCATAAGACTCTGCTTTCTAGCTTTTGTACTATTTAAAAAGTCTCTAAAAGCTTCTAGCTATATGTTTGACATAACAATTTTTTAGAACTTTTCAAAAAATAAAAGATCTTTTTTGAAATGCTACAAAGAGTTACATTTGAGAAAAGTCCGTGACTTTTAGTACTACGTAGTAATTAGTCATAACAGCTTGTATATCAAACATAACTAAATTAAACAATCTGTTTTTTACCAAACAACTACCACTTTTTCCTTTTAAGATCTTTCAGTCATTAAAAACTAACAATTGCTAAAAAACTCATGAAAATATCTTTTCAGCTAATTGTGTCAAACATACCTTATACGGAGTATATAACTGTATATCTTATTGTTATCGTAATATATCTTTGGTACATTCCTATTTATGGGTAAGTATGTAAATCCCTTGATTATAGCCTTTTTAGAATCTTGCATTTGAACGATATTTGCTACTCTTGCGGCTAAGATCGTCTCAATCTTTCTTGTTCGATCCATCATGTTAAGATTGTGTGATATCAAATTTGGTAAAATTTGTGTGATTTTAAATAATTCGTACTTTATCAATTCAATATCAATTTAATAACCACACCACCTCTTCATATCCTAATGTTAGTAGGACGAATCTAGTTTTTTTAAAAGCGTTGTCCAGGGTATGGGTGCTTTTACGTGTTTTTAGGTTATTTTGTATCCATATCCGTATCCGAGTTTATCCTCTTGTACTCCTGCTTTTTTCATTGATTTTTGGGGTTTCCCCCAATATTACTAAACTTAAGCTAATTTCCAAAAAAAGTGACAACATTTATATTTGAACAAAAATGTGACCAAGATGCTTATTCATTTCACTACACCACTCCCATGTCACTGTCAGATGTCATTGTCGTGGCCATCGCCCGTGTCACTGCCGCCGCCATTGCCAAGGTCACCACCGCCACCACAGCCGCCAGCCACAGTGATACCTCTGTAGTGACATCTCCGCAGCGACATCTCCACCCCAAATTTTGGTCATAATGACACGAACACATTGACATCCACCACCACCTCCGTCCGGTGACCACCGTCGACAACAGTAACACCAACCATAGTGATGTCGCTACAATGACGTCGCCACAGTGACACCACCCCCAACAACAACACTATGACTTTCTAGCTACACAGTTCAAGCCGCCACTGCCACCCCTACCCGTCCCCCACCGCCACTGCCATGTCCATTGCTGCCGCCCCTGCACCGTCCACCACCACCGCCCGTGCCACGTCCACAGCCGTCACCTTTGCCCCGTCCATCGATGACGCTCTTGCCTTGTCCCAACCTATCAAAGCCCACACACTAGCTCCCCAGCCCCCAGCCCCACTCCCATCCATTATCCCTGCACACCAGATCCCCACTCAGCCCCCACTCAGCCCCCACTCCCCGCCCCTAGCTAGCACTACGCACCAAATCCTCATCCAACCCCCACCCCTACTCCATGTCCCCAGCCCCCTCCCCTCCCTGCCCCCCTGTCGTTCCCTCTAGCCCTCTCCTACACCGATGATGGTGAATCTGGCATTTGCTACGCCAAATCGGAGTGGTTGTCACCGAGTTTGGCAGATCCAGAATCGGAGCCCCCAAAACGAGTCGTCATCTACCCACAAAGCCGGATTCGGCACTGGCGAATGCGTCTCCCATTGAGGACGACAGTTCCAATGGAGGCATGTCCATTGAGGATGACGGAGGTGGCAGTCGGTTTCTGTTGCAGCCGACAGAGAAGGACAAGGAGAAGAGTTGCGGCAGGGCAGCAGCGGCAGAAGAATGGAGGCGGCGAAGAAGAAAACGGTACTCGGTCGGTTGGGTAGAGAGGAAGAAGCAGACGAAGAAGAACAAACGAATGAGAAATGTCGAAGAGAGAGAGGCGGAAGAGATGGATGGGTTTTGTAACTCACTTTTTTGTCAAGATTTAAGTTAGTCATATTTTTGTCAAGTTAAACCCTAGAAGTAATATTTTTGGCATTGTTTCTTGATTTCTTCTCGATTTTGGGAAAGCTAGAAATCTGGTTCTTTGGTGTTTTCCTTTTCTATTCATATGTGTATGGAATTCCAAAATTTGAGTTTTATTATCTTTAGCTTCCTTGACGTCCAAAAGGTTTAATCCCCAACCCCAAGGGCTCCCCACCCGACCCGACAGGATGGTGGGGGAGTAAATCACGGTGACTCAGTCGGCAAAGATGCAGTAGGCCTTATTTCAGGTTCTGAAAACCATCTTTTGGCCGCTGCGGGATTCGAACCTTGGTCTACGTCCAATTTTTCCCACCGCTCGACCAACTGAGCTACCAGTGCGGGTCTTTAGCTTCCTTCACGTATATATAGGATGTGGTTCAATTTAAAAAATGTTTTAACGTGAAAAGTGCGAAATTTCACTATTACCTCATTACGCTGCAATCCTATGCTCAATTTTCAACGCGATATTCACTCAGTCGTCCAGAAACCTTCGCTTTGTGCTTTAGTACAAGGGTAACACAACGTACATCCAACCCCCTTGCTTTACCATATGTGAGAGTCTTTGCGGCACTGGGGTACTCATGATGATGAGGACTCCCTCCATTCCATTATAAGGTTCTCACTTTTCTTTTTTTGAACGTTCTATATAAAGATTCTCATTTGTATTCTAGGAATCAATTTATACTCTTAACGAAAATTTATTCATCAAATATTAAGTTTTTTTGTAGAGGATCATTTTCTTTATTTTGGATGTAGTTACTATAGAAGATCATTTTTAATTTATTTTTCAAAAACATATTTAACTGACTTCCCGATCCAATTTATGGTGCAATTTTATAAACATAATCTACACTTGATAAAAAACTTGCTCACAAAATTTCATCAAAAATCCCATCCGGAAGCACTTCAAATAGAGGCGACCAATGGTTGATCCGGTGTGTCTGGACTGATGACAAAAGTACTATATATATGAAAGCAAAACATGACGATACGTGGATGAGGGGCTAAGGGCGATGACCACGTTTTCTCACGATCCAATATGCCTTTCATGCAAACTACAAATTTCCGCAAATTACATCGTACATCCGGGGTGTACTATATGCATGGTACAACCAATTTATTTTTTGTTGTGCGCTTCCTGGTCAACAACAATAACTTGGATAGGCGGTTCGCCGCTCGCACCCCTACGGATGGCTCGTTGTTCACACCCAGGCGCTCACACCGGACGCTCCTGCTCATAGTTCGCTGACTCCTCCTGACCGATGATACTCATGTGATCACCACATGTCAGATTGCAGCTCGTGAGGACCAGATATGAGCTTGATTTCATAATTCCAATGCTCAATATTAGAGAACACAGTACACAATAAATATGTTTTGATGCACAGTGCATAGTTGGGATGCTGAATGGAGATGTTTGATCACATAGCCTCAACGTTTAATAGTAGAGAAAATGATGCTCGATAACATGTTTTGATACTCAATATGTTTTGAAATTTTTATATTCAATTGCAAAGTATGCTTAATGGAGGAGACTTTATGCTCAATGAAAAGGTCTTGATATCCAACTAACATAGTTTACGATTTTCATACTAATATTTCAAAAGTATAATATTATGTTAGATTCACATATTGCAATTCACAGGAGTTGATTATAGATATAATTTATGAAATTTTATATATGAATAAAAAACTACGTAAGAAAAAAATGAATTAAAAAATATGAAGTAGAGATCATGATGTTTTCAATATTAGATTCTTATACTCAACAAAATAAGCTTGATGTTTAATAAACTTACATTGATGATCAATTAACAGAAGTAAGAAGACACAATTTTCAATTATAATCACAATTTTCAATTAATGTATTACTTACTAATTACATTGAGCATTAACTTACATGTATTACTATTTACACGTTTGCAAATTTCCGACCACTTCCTCTTGCACTGATCAAGACCAAGGGAGTTCATATGTTGTACCTCCGGTTGTACGATGTAAATTGTACATTCCGGTGACATATTTATAATTTAGTTGAAAAAATTGGACTTCTACTAATTGAGCATCAATGCATTTGTATTGAACATCATGTCTATTCTGTTGAGTATTAAGTGTCTAATGCTGTATGTTGAGCATCACAATATTTGTTTCATACTCCTTATCATCTAATTCACTTTTTTTTTTGTTTTTTTATATTTTTTAATTATATTTATAATCAACTCCTATAAATTTCATTAACGAATTTAATTTAATTTAATTTAATATTATACTTTTGGAATATGCATTAAATTTGAAAATTATAAACTATGTTAGTTGAGCATCAAAATATTTGCATTGAGCATTAAGTCTTCTTATTGAGCATTAGAACTATACAATGTGAAACTTTCAAAACTTAGTGAACGTCAACACATCTTTATTGAGTATATGTTCTACTAGTACTATTTAAGCTTTAAGGGCCCGTTTGGATGAAATATTGAAAGGTGTTAGTAATGAAAGTGTTAGGATGTTTTTACTTGGACTGAAATTTGTTGGTCTGGTCTGGTAAGTGTCTGATCTCTGTGTATTTTATAACTAAAAAAATTCAGATTTTGTCCGTTTAAGTCTGGTCCGGTCTGATCTGTTTAAGTTTGGTCTGATCTCGTCTCGGACAACGACGAATGCAGCTTAATAGCAAATGGGGGCACATGCCCCCAATAAACTCTCAACAATTAGTTTAAAAAAAAATATTTAACAAAGAATTACTGGATGTGCCCCCAATAGAAAAAATGGATGTCCCCATCAATTTGTTGTAACACTTTATCTACTTTTGATTAAGTACGAGTAGTGTTATGTTTTTAGGATGCCCCCAGGCCCCAACACATCCTAAAGCCAAATTTTAATGTTTTTATAAGTCTAAGCAATGTACGTACCGGTACTACCACATACTATTTGAGTAGCAATAATTTACTTATATTAAAATTTTGAAATCCAAAGTGCTTATAAACAAAATAAAATCTCAGACCAGCTATTCAAATACACAAGAATACCATATAAGATTCTTCATCTATTTCTCTACAAAAATCATATTTTATTTATAGATGTCTAATTAAATTTATCTCAAACTATATTTGGTAATATTTATGTGGTTCAAAGCCATTTATATTTTTTTAATAAAATCACATTATCTTACTTTCTTTAGGATGTTTTTAATTGGACTGAAATTTGCCGATCTTGTCTAATTTGGTCTGAACTGGTCTGGTATATGTATGATCTCCATATATTTTATAAATGTCCAAGTATGATCTGATTTGATCTGATATGAGACTGAAAACAATCCAAGTAAAAACATACCTAGGGTGTGCCTCATAGAATCAATATCCAAAGATACTAGAATGAAAATAATATCGTTATAAAACTAGTAATGTAATTTTATTGAGTCGGAGATGCATAAACCCATAAAAATAATCCAAATTTGTATTCACTCTAGTCGGTCGAGGTGTTCTGGGTTTGATTTATCCAATTCGGGTGCCCCAACAGACAATATGGATCCACCACTGGTACGAGATTGAAAACAATCTAAATAAAAACACCCTTAGTAAATGTCGTCAGGACCCCATAAGGGAAGGTAAGTGTATATCACGAACCTACTTTGTTTGGGAGAGTTTATAAAATGAAGTATTAAAAATGAAAATGTTTTCGGTTAAATTGACAATAATGTGCTCATTTTCTTAAATCATAAAAGCAATATAAACTCGTTATAGAATGAAAACTTGTGATAATACTTGTGCTTCTGAGAAGCTTCTCCCTAGACCGGATTCGGTACAGACATAGATATACAAAGTACTCGTGATAACATGAATATGCAATTTCTTGAAAACATGAATCTGAAATACGTAGTACTCCGTATATTTTACGGAGCAGTTGTTAACATGAATTTGCAATTCCATCAAAGAATCGATGTGCAATCATAGGCAGGTAGGGAAACCATCAAGCCAAGACAACTAACTATACGATATCAGAATAATCCAAGTGAGAACTCCATTGGCGGCCGGCAGGCACCAAAAGTGGGTTGAAGAAGAGATAAATCGGCAAGGTGACGACGGCATGGAGAATGAATTGAAGGAGAAAGATGCCATGGTTCCAATCGGCCATGACTTCAAGGGCATAACATGGTTTCTCTAAATTTCCAATCCTTTAGTCTAGACATGGACTCGGGCCGGGCCTAGACCCGGTCGGGCCGTCGGTTTGTAACTAATGGACCCGGGACCGGCCCGATGTCTGGACGGGTCCGGTTCGGGCCGGACCACCCGCCCGTGTCACGGGCCGGGCCACCCGCCAGACCGGGCCGGTTAAATCCATTTTTTAAAAAAATTTATACTTTATAGTTTTATACAAGTATTAAAAACAAACTTCAAGTGCATTTATTTGAAATGAAATAGGAACTACATTTGACAATTAACAAAAACATACAATATGAAATACATTTTGTAAATTGTAATCAATCGGAATCTGTGACATAGGTAGAGCCACCCTCGGTTGTAGATTCATCCATAAAGTGTTGGGATGAGGTGATGTCAATTTCTTGAGCTCTACGAGCCGCCTTCAACTAATCGTAGTAGCATATAAGCATCTCAAGAGATTCTGCGTTCGACCTCGTTCTACATTGCGTTAGGACATTGCCGACCGAACTAAATTCTTGTTCCACGGCAACTGTTGAAACCGGCATTGATAGCACTTGCTTAGCCATCTTTGCTAAAACCGGGAACATTCTTTCTTTTCCCTTCCACCAGTTTAGTACGTCAAAATCATCATCTTCTTCAAAATCAACATCATATGTTAAATACAAAAAATCTCATTAATTGTGATTTGTTGCGTAGCGGGAGTTGATTTCATTTTTTTAATAAGATTGGCAAATGTAGATTTGAAAATTGATTTTCCTTTAGATGATGTTTGTGTCAGGGGAGGGGGCGCGTTGCCATATCGTGCATGAAACTCATTTAATAATGCATAAAATATATCACTAACCTCGCTGTATTCTTTTTTCGGATCAATTGGGTTGTCCTCATACATTGGCATTGGACCAAAAAAAGCAGCATAATAATTCAAACATTCCTCTAAAGAACCAAGTCTAAAACGAGGATCGAGAA